ATTGCTAGAAAGGTGAATATGAAAACCAAATGCTATAGCTATTTTGTGCTAAAAGAACACTTACTTTTTTGCTTCTTCTTGCATTTGCTCTACTTGTTGTTTTAATGCCTGATTTGCCTCAGCAAGGGATGCCATTTGTTCCTTATCGAACTGCAAAGACTTATTAGGAAAGAAAAAAGCCCCATGAGAGTTAAGAACAAAAGTATGTTTGATACATGTTGGATTATAAAAGAATAAGCATGAAATTTCAAAATTACTTCCATCTCTAAATATAAATTGTTCCACAGTTCTCCATATTCTATCTTCCTTTTATTTCTTCTTTAACTCTTCCCTCTGAGGACACCAACATAACATGTATGAACAGAGTTCTAGTTTGGTTTCCGCTCTTGGATGGAGTTCACTTTAGGACCTGTACTGTGCTTCTCCCCACTTACTTACATGACATGTTAGTAAGCTGTGATGTACTTAGAGACTTTTGGTAGGTCTATGCTCAAATGTCTAGGCAATATTAAACACGTAACCAAGAACCTTATCTTGCAGGTGGTCATACTGTTTATTTCCAAAGTTACCAGAAATAGCAGTGTATCCTGGATGTAACACTCAAAGGCCAAAGCTTTACACCTGCCCTACCTGTAGACGTGTTTCCATATCGTCTCGTTCTTTCTGCACTGACTGAAGATGATTTTCTATTTCCACCATCTGCTGGTGAACCTGAGACACTTCCTTCTGTAGTTTTGAATGTTCAGATTCAAGTGACTGTTTTTCAACTTGAATTTTCAGCAGCTCTCGTTTTAGCTCTTTCACTTCCGAATCCAATCGCTTCTTTGTAGCTTTCAGTTCACTAATCAGTTGGTCCTTGGAACTCGCATCTCTCCGATAAGCTTCCACCATTACCTTGGACACAAGAGTTTGAAGAGGACAATGTCACCTCTGTTACAGCTTTACAAATTTATGACCAACTTACTAGAAAGTATTTACTGATATTCTTTTACTTTGGGGGTGTGTCACACAAACCAGCAACAGCTTCTGTAATACATTCACTCTGGTTCAAAGGCTTTTATGTAAGCTCAAACAGCAAATAACACTATGTATTAGCAGTTCATTAAAAAACACTCCACCTCTGACTGTTCATAGCAGTATGGGACACTCTTCTTCACACTCTTTATGGAACCGCACTAATATGTGCCATTTTAAAAACTAAGTTAATTGTAAAACATTAACCATCCCACGCACACAAGAATTTTTGTCATTAGAAGAGAGTTTAACTGTGATTGACAGTTTAAACAGCATTCCCAAACTTAAACCTAACAAGCTAAACCAACTTTTGTCATTAGGTTAATAAGCAATCAAGCAGTAGATTAATGGTGCCACCCTATAAGACACACGTGGAACACTAATGACATATAGACTTCAAATTACTATTTCAAAACTGTGTAAATTCCGAATAAAATCTGCAATAAAGCACTTTATTTTCCATCTAATTACTGAAGCAACTCTAGTTTTTCAAAGCTGCAGGGAAATGACAACACTTGAAGATTTTCATTAGTACTTTTGCAAAAGCAAACCTAATCAACAAGCCAGAGAGAGGTTTTCCATGGTGAATCATTTGGCAAACTCCCTGAAGTCCCATCAACACATGAACTAGTTGGTGGATCTGCTTTTATATTAGTTACAGATAGAAAATCCACTCTAAGCTATACAGTTTGTGTATTTCAATGTCACAAAGTTCTGTGATACAGCAAATAGATCTTCACAAAGCCCCAGAAGTGTATGCCTTCTCTGTAAAAAGAAGTATCTTTCTTGATTTTATGCCTTTGAAATTTCTTTGCTTACCTTCTGCTGCAGGAACTGTTCCTTCACTTTTTGAACCTGTTTTTTGAGGCTGGAGTTTTCTTGTTGCAGATTTTCCACCTGCCAGAGGGGATAAAAGCAAACATTACTTTGCATGCCGAATGTCATATGCTATGTGACTTCTTTAGGGACAGGATCTGTTTGACTTCTATCAATTGCCTAATCTAGTGAGGATTCTGTTTCTGACTAAGCATCAAAATGGTTTAGTAACACTGTTTTATACAGAAACATTCATACAGGTCAGCACACAGGGAGCCTTGTCAGCCCTCAGGAATGCACAGAGTCCCCTTATCCATTAAAATCCTAGTATGCATCACAGATGTATCTGGATGACACCTGTTCACAAACACATGATCAAATGGAAAAACCAGTTAGTTCTTTGAAAGAAAAAAACACGTTAAATATACGTGCATCATTTTTCAATACTTCCATTGGTGATACTATCGAGTCTCAACATTATCTTCAAAAGAAAACTCTAAAGATTACCAGGAACTCAACATTACCAGTATTCAATAACAAAGCTCTTCCTATGAAGCTTGGATGCTCTAAAAGATACAAAGCATACACGACTAGAAAACTGCAGTGTGAGCACAAGACTCACTATGAGTTAAAGCAGCCAGAAAAACAATACAGATATGAATTAGGCTAGTCCCTGTTCAGTGACTAGAAAAAAGCCTCAGTTGGTATACAGCTATATGCAAAAGCAAACTCCAGGATATTGTTTCAAGAGAAGAGGCACAATTAAACATGACCAAATTACTGCATAGGAAAGATGTCTGGCCCACAGTGCCACAGAAAAGGTGCACACTAAAAAATTACTTCCCAAACTGATCTGTACTCAAAATTATTGTGTTTTAAAACTGACAGATTTCAGAAAGATGGTGGCTCTTGGAAACAGAACAAAATCAATTAACCACAGCTTCCCATCCCATAACACAAATGCATAAGCACATATAGATACCAAGGAATATTAAAGCCTAAGGTCACCAGTGATGTAACAGGATGTAAAGTGTCAGTCCATGAACAAGGAGAAATGACAGAACTGATTAAAACATTTCCCCAAGTTGAATCCCAGAACTACACACATATACAAACTCACATGTACCAATCTCCTCCCATGTAACTGGCTCTACCATGTGCCTGTGGCAATCCTTCCCTGCAACAGCTACTTGTAGATACTTTTAGAGCTTTACCTGGCTTGACTTGACTGCCATTTCTTGCTTCAGCTGTTCCAAAATTTGTGATGTTACTTCTGCATCTTCTCCAAGGCGCGTTGCTCCTTCGTCAAGTTGCTCTTTACTTGCTTTTGCTGCCTGCAGAGCTACTTCCAAGACAATCTTCTCATTCTGCAAATACTGGATCGTGTCATCTTTGGAAGTAGCTTCACTTTGGAACTCTTCTAACCTGGCCTTCAGTTCATCATACTGTGTTTGCAGGTCATCCAGGGACTGCTCTTTGGTGTGCAGTGTCTCTTGGGTTAGAGTCAATTGTTTCATCAGGTCTAGGTGTTCTTGCTGTAAAGATTCAAGCTGCAGATCTCGCTGATGCAAAGTCAACTTGACCTGAGAAAAAGCATTTTAAAGATTAAATACAAAATGAAAGTCATGTTTGTAAATGCACTCCAATCAAAGTAAAATAGAATCAACTAGGCTGGAAAAGACCTCCAAGGTCATCAAGTCCAACCCTACCATCATTACTAGACCATGGCACTAAGTGCCACATCCAGTCTCATCTTGAAAACCTCCAGGGATGGTGAACCCACCACCTCCCCAGGCAGTCCATTCCAAAGCCTGATTGCTCTCTCTGTAAAAAATTTCTTCCTAA